TGACAATGCAATGAGTCAAACGTTTTTGAAAATTTCTACGTGAACGTTTCCAATCTGATTTGGTTTCTATTGGTAAAATGAAAACCGTTTTTGAGCTGCTTCGTCGAGTGTGGTGTGTATCAAAACTATGCGTCTATGAACACGTTTCTGTTATGGGGGTGTATGCTTATAAGTTTTGGGCCTAATTTTGAAATCGAATTTGCTGTAACAGCGTTCAAGTGGTTTTCAACTGGGTATTCAAAGTATGTTCCTGTGAAGACCATTAGTCGTTTGTTTGATGTGTTTTACATGAGCTATTATTGTTTTGAGAATTCTTATTTGGTAAAAATTGGCCGTTTTCATGTTTTCGTTGAAATTTTTATTTGGTTCTTCGTATTTTTATGGTTAATGTTTTCATCCTGTTAAGTTGCCCTGCAACCAGCGATGCTGTGTCGCTTGTCCGTACTGTATAAAAGAAATATAACGTTTTTTAGGAGTGTTTTCTTTTAAAATTTGGATTTTTTGTATATGTTAGGTATTTGTGTAGTTATTTCTGCTATTTCCCCAAATGAGTTTTGTATGTTTTTCCTACGAGAGAGGTTTTTGTTTGAAAACAAAAATCGTATGATAAATTTTAATAGTGTGGTTCTTCTAGTTTTATTTCGACTTCTACTTGTTCCAGTTTGTCTACCAGTTTTTAAATTTTTGTTGGGTTCACTGACTGATGGCAGATCTGATGTTCTTTTCTCTTTTAAATTGTGATGTTTAACTTATCATAAAAACTCTGGTCATTTTCAAGTTTTAGTAGTGATGTGCTTTCAACTTTTGTTTTTCAAGTTTTTTTGTTCCGTTTGTTAGTCTGCGGATTTCAATACCATAAACTCTTTGATAATGCAGTGAGTCAAACATTTTTCCAATTCGATTTGCTTTCTATTGGTAAAAAAGAAAACCATTTTTGAGCTGCTCCGTCGAGTGTTGTGTGTATCAAAACAAGGCGTCTGTGGGTCCAATTCTATTAGATGCGTGCGTTTATAAGCTCTGGGCCTTTTTTGAAATCAAAGTTGCTGTAACAGCGTTTAAGTGGTTTTCAACTGAGTATTCAGAGTCTTTTCCTGTAAAATCTATCAGTCATTTGTTTAATGTGATGGATGAGAATTTACTCGAGAGCTTATAATATTTGGAGTTTGTGCTGAGATTATTTAATTGTGCTCGAGAGATTGCAATTGTTTTACTTGAGTCGAGTTTGCTATGGGGTTAATGATGTTATAGTTTGCAACAAAATTCCAGTTAAAAGTTGCAAAACAGTTTCCATTTTCATTTTTTAGTCTACTAAAAGAACGTTTTGTGGTAATCGATTTTTGTATTTGGTTATCCATGTTTGAGTAATTAGGAAAAATAAGTATTTTAGCTGTTGATTGTAGTTTTGATACTGGAAGCAGGTTGCTGTACTTTTTATGTGACTATAAAATTTGTTCGATAAATAGGCGAGCTACTTTCGTGTTTTATTACTCGTTTTGTTGTAACTAATCCTTCGTGGGTAAAATGCGATGATGTTTTCTCATGTATGCTTAAAAGTTGAGTTTAGATTATTCTCAGCATTGACAGAATTCAATGGTCAATGCTGGTTTCGTTAACAATTGTTTTCTCTCTAAATCTGCGTTTTCTTGTTAATGATGATGTGTTTCTGTAATATTTTGTTGTTCATTGGTTTGATTGTTTTTATTGTTTATTTGATGTTGGAGTTTCACAAGATTGCGTATGGTTGTTGAATCAGATTCTGGAATTGCGTTTTGTTTTCTGGAAAAACACTTTTTTTAAGGGTTTATTGTCGTTACCAGAAAAAATGGTTTTCCTCTAGAAGCAAGGATTCTTCACCAAAGTAACAAAATTTAAATTTTTAACTCATGCATTGTATTTTTGTAGGATTTAATGATTTTATGAGTTTGAAATAAAAGTTTTCTTAAGAAACTTTACGGCAGATTTTAAATTTTCAGGTAGGTAAACGATAGTGTCGAAGTTTTGCTGTCTTGTTATTTAAGTATAATTTTAGCTATTGTGTATTATTCAAAAATTATTGCTCATAAAATAAAATTTACGGCTCTATTTCATAATGCAATTCAAATGAAATTTTAAAAAAACTTTATTACGAGGCCAAACTGTGCACTGGTTAGGAGGACAATTTTGTGTCTGTATGTTCCTGGATTCCAGAGACAAGTATTTATACCTGCTAAAGATTTGTCGGAACGATCAAAGACATTGAAAGAACAAAAGAAGAACAAAGGGAGCGTCCTTGTTGCGGAATCCGCTTACAATGCACAAAATGCACAATTTGGCCTCGTAATGTTATGCATAATTAGGTCTTCGACTTTATTTTTGGCTCGGCATGATTAGACTTATTGAGAGGTGGAAATAAGCTAAGCCGAGTATCAACTCGTTTTGATTAGTTTTTTTTTAACTAAGTTAGTATCAAGGCTCCTCGAGACTCGTTGGTCGCACCAGATGAGTTTTGGTCTGGGTTGGCCTTAGAAAAATCTCGGATAAGGTACACCGTCTGTTCGTCACGCTATCTTATTTTTGGCTGGATAGATTAGTGAAACTTCTAAGCTGCTACATTCAAAACGGGAGTTGACTTCAAAGGAAAAAAACTTCCTTGTAGTTAGCAGTAATTTTCTTAGCAGATACCAAACGTTTGAAGGATAGATGCACAAAATATCTACATCTCCATTTCTTTTATCTACAGAATCAGCCCAACGAAAGTAGCCAATCAATTATTTTGTCCTAGATTTTTGTGGAAAAATTTTTCAATGATGTAATACTTTTCAATAATGTAATAATAATTTTAATTTTCTGAATTTTCTGTAATTACTCCGTGTAATTTTGGCAGTCTTAAGATCTACTACCTCTTCACTACCTCTAGCGTAGAGAAAAAGTCTGAGACCTTTTTCCTCAAGTATGAAAATCTTTCTTTTCGATCGCAGTGGTATATGTTAGGCTGCAGGTGTTTTTAAAAACTGATTTTTGTTTTGTTTTTTTTTTATCGCTTTTCTCAGCGGCATGAATCTTATTCTACTTCTGTGGTATTATGAGTTTGTGAACAGATGTTGATTTTTGTGTGCTTTCATTATAACATGTAAATAACAAAACGCTGTTTTTTAATTGTATAAACTCAAAAAATGCACTTTCGTAATATGAAAGATTTGAACGTTGCTTGGACACTGTTGTGGCAAAGAGAATACTAAAACATTATACGCTTTATTGGATTAAAAGTTACTGCTGTTGAGTTTTTACTTCGATAAAGTGAGATGCTATCGAGTTGTATTTGAGAGATGTTAGCACAACTTGAAGCCTCAATTGCCGATATCGATGATCGGTATTACCGATTTTTCCATCAGCAACGATCATTCGCCGAGGCACTCACGAATGCGCGCAGTGGCCTGTATGTCCCGGAAGCAGTCAAGAGCTTGAATGAAGTGAGTCAATTTCTGAACAGTGGAAAGTTAGAGCGTAGCAATGATGTCCGAATCGTGGAAAACTTCCTGGTGATGTGCGATGACTTGGAAGGTCTTCGGAAAGACATGAAACGATATCTGATCGACTGTCTGGAGATAAAACCAGATCTGAAGCACCTGAAACAGACTAAAAATCTGATGCACTCTATGAACAAGTGGAGAACAATGCTTGACCCTGAGTTCGATTTCTCGGAACTGAGAGCAAAATGGCCGCATTACAACGTCCAAAAACTGAGTTCAGTCGAGGCGAAACTTCTTTACGCTGGAATTGTATCCTTCCTGCCTATTTTGATCGACACCGTCAAAATAGCTTTCAAATACCTGAAACTGATCGACAAAAAATCAGTTTGGAATCAAAACCTAAAGCAAGACGATCAGAGTTTCCAAGAAATAACAGCAAGAACAGATGCGAGTTCTCATCTATCCAACACACTTGCATGTTCCAGACAGTCTTCAAGAACCCACACCACCAACACCCTGGAAAATGGGACTCTGGATGGAGAACTGGAGGTGCAGATGGATCAAACAAGCCGCCCTGTGACTGTAGCGTCAGTTTCTCACAAGTCTGGCTCCCATAAGGTGTCCGTACCACTTTCTAGAAAGTCATCAGACCGAGCGAGCAAAACTGCTTCTTCAGCTCGCAGTGGATACTTTAGCACGAGCGTCAGACAAAGCAGGCCGAGCTCAAGAGTGGAACTGGCCAGGTCAAGGTGGGAACTCGTCGTTCAATCTAACATTAACTACTTTAGGAAACGCTAGAACCGATAATTATACCCTTGTCATTTTCACTATCTTTTAGATTATTAAAGTATAGTGTCCCGATTGTGAGTCCTTCCTAAATGAGAAGGATCATTTTGTTTCGGAAATCATTCCCCGAGTCGACACTTTTCACCTAATTTGAAGCAAGATTTGAGTGGTTTAGGCTGTTTTTTAGACAATTGCACTCAAAATCATGCTTCATAGTGAGCGGTTTGAGCGGCTTTCTTCGATAAACCGCTCAAAAACAGTTCATATCTTGCGCAAAAATTTTTCAAAACTAAAAGCTTTTATTTCGATTTCATGGACTCATTAAAAATACAAAAACATAAACAATTTATGAAAAAAAGTTATTGTAGTTAATTTTCTAAGGATTTCTTGCTTCTCCAGGATCATTTTCTCTACTTAAAACAACCAAAACTTTAATTGCTATTTTAATCAAAATCGATATCATCAAGACCTTTCTTGGATCTTCAACAATTTTGAAATAAGTTGAATTCATTTAAACTATAATAATCAACAAGGCTTCTCCTTGATTTCATCTAGATCCTCAAAGCCTCTCCTTTTATCTTTTATCTAAAATCTTTCATATAAAACTTTTAAATTTATTTATTTCTTAAATTTGGATCATCCATGTTTTCCTTGTATCCATTGAACTTACTTTTATAATTCAAAACCATATCATTGAGCAAGTGTCCAACGACCAAAAACGACGATTCATTCTTCAATTTTTCCAATCGACCCAACACTAAACGATTTTTTTTTCAAAAACTTGCCATTTAAAGTCAGCTAAACATCCTTCACCTACAACCCACCTCTTTTTTGACCCAGGCCTATAACAACTCTTAAAAATAGTTAGTTCTAATAAAGTATGTCATGCTTTGTTTGTGTTTTAATTATATTTGAATATTGTGGATTTATATATCATTCTCCAACCCCCGATCTAAAACGATCCCCATTTAAGCGAGGTTAACTTTACCTAAAGGTAGAAAACGTCACAAACGTTTGCGGGTACTAAAAAATTATTCTATTGATTAGATATACTCTCGCGCCAATCCGACTTGCCACAGCATCGAAATGACCCGAGAATTGAATCACCAAACAGTAATAAATTTGGAAATGGACAATTAACACCTGGATTTGCATCAATCATTCTAACTTTTAACAAAAAAAAACAAACAAAAAAACGAAATCATAAGAAGAAACAAACAGGAATCATACGCAAACTTGAGAACCTCCAAGATCAATTAAACAATCAAAACAAACATATCTAAAAACAGCAATTAGTTTTCGATTCCCTAGAAACAACAGCAACATCCATAAAAGTAAAAGTGAAATGTAAACTAATTATAACAGTACGACCTAAGATTTCGAATCAACCAAAAAGACATATTGAAAGTTAAACATAAACAGTGAAACCACATTAAACAAGAAGCAAAACTACTTTAGTTTGGAAGTTGACTCTATCATACCAATCCCCATACGACCCGGCAGCGACCCATCACACGGAAAAATACATTTTTGTCATAACCTCATCATAAATTTATTTCAAAAAAGCAACAGTTAACGCCAACAAAAAACTCTGGAAGTTGAAAATAAAAAGGCAAATACTACACCATTATCTTCCAAGTATATGCAATGTCTCGTTATAATATAAAATATTAACCTTCGAAACTCTATATCTGAACTAGACAAAAAAACGCCACCATATAGAATACAAACAGAAGATTTTGAACTAAATTTCTCAATGGTTTTGTAGAAAAAATCGAACAAGTACAACACCAAAATTCACAAGGAGCTGATTCAAACTTCAATTTTTTTTTCAATCATTCACAGCTAAGTCTCAGTTTTAGATACAGATGAAATTTTTTTTATCAGCACCACAAACATCACTACACCCAGCAGTAGAAAAAAAATGAATCTTTTTCCACTCTTTTTTTATCGCAATTCTCGAAAAAATCACTGATAAAGAAACATCCTGATTCATAAAACTCGATCTACAAAAAAACTAGAATGTTTTTTATTAGATTATTCCCACCACAAAAAAGACCTCATTGAACAATCTAGACAACCATTGATGATGATTCATTTTGGCAGACGAAACAGGTTGTTTGGGTTTCTGAATGGTATCATGATTTGTTCGTTAACATATCGAATGATATATCAAGTTCATCAATTCAAACAACCTCATTGAACAAAAATTATTTAAGAAAAATCCCATCTATGAAGTACAACATCATTAAATCACAATACAATGTTTCACGATAGTCTAAACTTCAATCTTGACAGTTTAAAAATGTCTTAACCGAGCAAAAGTCACTTTCATACTAGCCATAGTAATGGTAATCATTTCTGCCGAAGAATGTTACGAAGACCCTTTAGTTTTTTAAAGAAAGGAAAAACTAAATAAAAATCAAAATGGTTGACCAGACCCCAACAACAAACTGCCCACCTATTCACCCAACCCAAAATCCCCCAACAACTATCAACTCAAATATACTACAAACCAATACTGAATCCTCCATCCAAATTCCTTGTCCCGCAAACCCTTTTGACCACCGACAAGCACTACTATCAGATCCCTTCGCAACACATCAAAACGCACCATTAAGTGAACCTAAAAATGAACCAAACTATAAAATTTACATAACACTACCTCAACCTATTACATTTTCATAACACTACCTCAAGACTTAAGCAGAACAAGACCTCATTTGTAACAGCAACCACAAAAATTAACAATTGAAACTAAAATCACTCACCCACGACAACAATGCAATTTTACAACGTTAAGAGTTTTATTTAACATAAACTCACCATCTGAATTCGCGTAATTCTCCGCTACTATTTTTGAACAATTGAAAACCTAATTTGGAAAATTAACTGATAACAAGTTCAAACAGCTTTCACACGTTTCAATTGTTCCTTTAACCCGGTTCCGATAAAGAGGTAAAATCTTAAATAACCAGCGCCGCTTATTAACACTACTTATTACTAACATGTACAGGAAAGTCCCACTATATGCAAACCAGATTAAACTGGATAAAATATTCTATCGAAGAACGAATCAATTTTTTATTTTGACCACGATAAAGAATTATTTATAAAACACAAGACAGCACTAATCAAAGGCCATTGTTTTTGAGAAAAGGAAAGAAACAAAATCAAATGATAAAGCACCTGATTCAATCGAAAAAAGGTTTTAAAGGAGAAAAGACCCTGCTCAAAGAGACACTCACAAGTATTCCCCAAATGGCCTTACTCACCAGTCAATTGCAATTCATATTGAGCATGTGCTCAGAACCCCGATTTAAACTTTTTTAAGAGCTGGTTGATAAACTCTTCATAATAGCTGAACTAATTGAAAGTTTTTGCGAAAATAACTAATAAGATGATAACTAAAACTGAAATACTTAAGTACAAAGAAATATATTGTAAAGAATTTGTGGAGAAAAAGAAATGAGCAGCAAAAAGGGGATGAAAACGTGGCGACCTTACGACTATGGAATGGCAAATCTTTTGGTTGTGCTTGCCGCAGTAACAACTCGCACAGAATACAAAGAATGAAGCCGACATCGCATCGAATGTTTCCATTGAAAAATAACAAGTGCCAATTGGATGTCCAAACTCAATGATGTTTGTCCTTGTCACCTGGTGCTTCTCTCAGTAAATCATTGTCTTGTACTCGATCTAAACGAACGAAAAGTTGAGAATTAACGTAGTCTCGCTCTAACTTAATTCAAATCGGCAACTTCAATACAACCTTTTTGAATCAACAAGAATCTCTCAATCTCATCATAAATACTTCGTTACACGATCAAACTTCTATTTCGTCAAACATTCTAGAAGATGCTCCGTTCACTTATTACAAGTAGAGCTTTGATTTTAAAAGCTTCCTTAATCCCGGATATATAAACTATGTGATTTTTTGCTTAATATTTATCACTGTGAAAAGGTTAATACTAACCAAACATGATCAATTACTAAATTTTACTCTGAATTATACAGCTAAAGCTATTCATAGTTTCAGCCAGACAAAATATAAAACGATAGGTTACAAAACGATATATAGATTAGAAATCAGTTGCTTTTTCCCTCCTATCACCTCAAATGAATACAAGTGTATTTTGGGACTAGGAAATATCATAGTAAGATTAGAATTTGTATTAGACTAAGAAGTTGCACAAATCTTCCCGACCGGAAATTAGATAGAGTGACAAACAGAAGGTTTACCTTATCCAAAACTACTCTATACGGCCACCCCGGCCCTAAACTCATCGTGGTTGTCGGAAAAAACTGAACCGCTTCCCTCCCTGACTAGCAGAGTACCTTTTTGTAAAATATTGCCAAGCTTAGATGAAAAAATAGAGAGACGATACAACTTTCCTAAAACTCTTGCTGAAAATCTAGTCTTTTTTCATTAAATATTATTCTTTTTTGTGCTGCCTAACTTTTTGAAAAACTGTATCATTAAAACAAAAAATAAAGAAATAAACCTCGCCATTTTGCAGATAGTTCATATTTTTCATGACTAAAACTCCAATAGCTTGACTGTTTTGCTAAATTTAACAGGACCGATATTGAGCGTGAGAGCCCGTTCACACTAGGCAAAACGCTGCTTTTTTGACAGACGAAAACGTGTCAGTCAAGGTCGGCCAAGGTGGTTTTATGAACTAGCAAATTTGAGTCATAGAAAGGAAATGACCCCGAATCTACCGGGACGCACTGTGTATACGCTCGGCTACTGTCCTTGTATTATATGCAACTGTAATTCAAACTTGTGTTTTTTGCAAGTATAGTTCAAACTTGTGTTATATGCATTTGTTTTAACTTACTAAGTGCTCAGCAACGTCCGCACTCTTCGTTACTATTTGCTCAGCAACGTCCGGAGCAATTTTAACGAGGTGTCTGACGAATAAGATCGTTAGGGTCTTAACGGTTGCCGAGCGAGCGA